AGAACGGTACACAAATAACCAGAGCAACGAAGAATACACTCCAACCCCGACAATTAGTACCGGATGGTCACACGTCGACATTTGGCCGCGTATAATTTTACTTTCTAAGTACTTTTCGTGACGATAATAAAGTAGCATTAAGAAGGCGAAATGTGACTTTACAGAGAGTTTTTAGGGCTGGTTTTTCTTTGCGTGGAGGTGTGAAGATCACAATCAAACGGCTAGTAATTAGTGCGGGCTGAGACGCTCGGTGGGGCAGATAATTTCCGCCGCGAGCTCAAAAGGACTCCATTTGTCATTCGGTCGCGTAAACTCGCGTCGAGCGGACGTCCCGCTCCCTTCTAATTTATTCAAATATTATTTATATAAGGAAAACGCGACTATTAATCACATTGCCTCTTTTATTTACATACGTGGAATATTTGAGGGCTTTGATCGTGTTTGTTTGGACGGTTTATTAGGAGCATCATGCTTAGTGACGGTATTTTTAATTAAACTTAGTTGAGTATTTGTATTTCTTTTCAGCTCTGACTTTGGGAATTATTTTTTAGTAAACAGTAGTGTTTACTAGTAGTAAGCCTACAATATTTTATACGATAAAAATCTGCCTATATGTTACGGAGAGCAACTCGAAGCTATTTCAATAACATGGGTACGTATCAAACGTCTGTGAAACACGCGAAAGCTGTGTGCACGATCTTTCATTCCTTGCAACTTCTTTTCACATACGTTCTGCTCAACTGTACCTTACATTAATTGAATTAATATAATTGGCGAGAATGCAGACGGAGAAAAAACCGAATGCCATTATAACATATTTGCCTTTTATGACTATGCTATTAGGCAGCCATAGTTACAAGTTTTGTATACTGTTTCAGTTTAGTCTGTGTACTGTTTGTTACGTTAATTGGGTGCTGCTCAGACGGCGTAATTTAGATCCTCGAGTTTCCGCAACTGGCAATCCGAAACTATCTGTTTATGATGTCTTTCGTAGATAATTTCATGCAACTGCGCAGAGATCGCAATTTCAGTTGAGAGTTTCGGCAATCGATTGATTGCCAAGATCCGTATCAATTGCCGCAACTAGAAACTTGCAAGTTTGTATAGGTTGTCTCAAATTGCTAATATCCCTAACTCGCACGCGTTTAGCGACTTAAACTCTCCCCCCCCCGCAGAAATTTTAAAATATTGTTTAAATTTAATAACATATTTTTGGAGCTCACTCACTTTTGTAAAAAAGGGTGAACCCAAGCCGCATTCGTACGAATAGTTTGTCGTTGTTGACGCCGTGGGCGGCGGTGGCGTAATACAATTACAACAAGTGCCGCTTCTTCGAGATCCATAGTCAAACTGACTGATGACCATGGATATCGGAAGTTTATTTAAAATTGCGGCAACCGTAAACGTTTTTGTTGCTGCGACCGGCAACCGTTAACGGAAACTTGTAAAAGTTGATAGTTGCGTTAACTGAAGCTTTTTTATAATACAAAGCGACGGGATGGACAAGTTGCGTGTCCGGTGGTAAGCGGTACGCCATATCAGTAGTGCCACTCAGAGCTTTTAATCGCAAAGTTCTTGGAGGCTGTGCCCGTCACCGTGAGACATAAGTTGACAAGTCACATGTGCTTGTAATTTCACCATCACCCTTCTTGCCCCTCGAAACGCAGCTCATTTTCGATTTTCAACTCATCGACATTACTGCTTGGCGGCTGAAGTAGGTAAGGTGGCAGTATTCGTCTGGACGAGCTCTTTCACAAGGAGCTCTACTGCTACTAAAAAGTTACTACAACTACTAAGTTACTCCGTGTGCGTAGCGCCTAAACGTACAGTCAATAATTCCATGATTCAACGATCCCTATTATTAAATTCCGGTTATCGGTTTCAATAATTAAGATATCCAATTGTAGATGCTCAATTATCGTATGTAATGATGAGTGATTTCCTATATCTATCAGGGCAAGGGTGTAATTGGCACGGCCAATTACCTGAGACGGTGTGGGCACAAGTGTGGTGCATTTAGCTCTGTATGACTGATTCGCCCTCGTTTGTTCTAGTCCGGTGCGCCTGCGCATTTGCTATATCATACAGTAGTTAGTGTAATGAGCTATGAAAGAAATTGAGTTGTCATCTAGCTATCATTTCGTTTTGCTTGTTTATTATACTTATTATTATATGCTTGTTAGGGATGGAACGCAAAATTGATGTACACACTCTGTCATTACCAGCCAGGACACGTTAACTGCTGAACATAAGCCTTAACACACTCGTATATGTCCTTTATTTTCTGGACATTAATTTTATATCAAAATCAGTCATACCTGAGTAGTATATCATGAATCAGAGAAAACATTTATGTCACATTCCTAAAAAATAATGACATCAGTTTCATGTACATTTCGATCGGTCGGTCATAAAAGTTATTTTTGCTTTTCCATTGAACGTGATCTCTAATCAGTCTACATATGAAATCACAAAAATAAGTCGTGTCTCTAAGAAACGTTTGTCGTATAAATTTTTCGCTTTCAAGCAGTTTGTAAACTGCAGAAACCAACTGTTTCTAAATTTTAAAACTTGAGTTCTGTATTGACTTCAAAGTCTTCAATTCGTTATGCAAGCTGCTAGCGAATAGATACTACTCGAGTTAAAGAGTCACTAGTATTATATATATATAGGTAAGAGCGAAAAAGTTGTTGTCAAAGGTGAACTACGCAAGTCGACAAAGTCACAACAGCTCTTATTATATACTATAAAGCTTTGTCTAATTAGCTCAAGCCGGTTCAGCTTCAAATGTGTCGACTCCTTTAGCCTTTTATACGCAAGTATATGTCGAGAAATACGTCTTGAAATAATCCCTCGGTTTATAGAGCTCGAATGTTCGGGAAACAAGCAAATAATCGCGCAGCGAAAATTCAGTAATATTATTTTCAACGTCATTATCAAAAATGTTTAAATCACGAATGAACTCTCATTCGCCGAATGACCGCCAACCAAACTTCGCAAATAAATACTAATTAGTCAATCTGCAAATATGACAGTGTATTTTTCAGATTTATTTAACGAAAAAAAAAAAACAAATTGCTATCAAGAGAGACATCAAATGAGCGAGGCATTTGTAGTGTTGACATTAATACAGTAGTGTGCTCTGTCAATGTCTCTTCGAGATGGATATCGCGGTGACGAATGCGCGTATATCAATAATCCTTTTTCTACTCGCGTAAGGGGCCATCCATACATGTCACGCAAGTCTTGTTTCTTCACTCTTGACTGTACTCTCTCGCCGCATGTTTTGGCGGAGACTCTTGCCTGCAATCTTCTACCCTCGTACCACTCCGTAGTTCATTGAAATCTACCGTATTTTATGGATGACGCCTAATGCAAACACCATGCAATAAATATTAAATTAAATGACGTTTTCTGGCTAGTAGTGGGACAATTTTATTGATGCTGATTGCATGATCCCGTCCAATAATAATAGTTTCGCTCTCTATAAGTTTCTTAGTGATCTATTGTTGGTAGAGATAAATATTTCCCTCGTCTGACAATGAAAATATTTCATGACTTCTCATAATTAGCGTTGATTCGTGTAATTGATAGCTGCGGTCACAATTTAGTACGATGTTCTATATAATTTTGTTTAGACTTCTAGCTGACAGACATTCTAAGACATTCAGTGTTCGATTTTGTACTGGTTCTTTTTTGTTCAACTTGAATTCAAAGTGTTTTTATGATAAAAACTTTTAAACTCGTGACGAGCGAGCTAGCGTTGTAACAGATGAATGAGCCCAAAACTGAAATGTGTTATTCATAACGGCGCTGTGAGAGCCGGGGACCACCTTGCTCCCCTTATCTGCTTGACAGCCTCGGTCATGTGTGGACGCGCCATCATCAATAATATTCCACAGTTTTTCACCATTTCTCATCCATCCAGTGACCACGGTGCACGACGCGACGCTATCGGCTCACTCCTCAACAATTTATGAACTTTCTGACAGTAGCGGGCGGTGCGCGGTAATTAGTCACGGAAATCTTTGATCTTTTAAAATGGAACGAGTGAATGAATGGTGTACACAGCTAAAACAACAACAGCCTTCCTACTGAACGTGATCTCATTTCTTTATCAATAAGACACTGGCCGCTAAGAAACCGCTCTTCTAAATTTGGCATTAGGCAACATCCGCAGCGGCCATGACGCGGGGGGCGGGGCCAGTGCGCAACCGCGCGCGATTGGCCGTATGATTCGCGTGCCGTGGGAACGTTCCACGTTTGAATCATCGAATATTGCGGGTTTGGGACACTATTATTGAATCTCTGACAGTTGAATAGAATTTATATTGCGACTAAGTTATCTTTATAAATCGCTCTAAAAGTAACAAGCAGAATACTGAACTTGGAATTTCTTTCAAACTGGTAGGTTAGTTATAATGCTTGCGATTTCACAGAGTGCACAAATTTCAGCGCGTGCATGTAATGGTACGGAGCAGACCAACGAGAAGGAATGTTGCGCACGCGCATCTTTGGCGCTAGCCGGCGCCGGCGGACGACGACACGAGGCAACACTGGCAACAGGCGGCGGCGGCATAACCGTGCTATGTGCGGACCGCGCGGCGACAGTGCGCGTCACGCTATACGACGACAGTGCCCCGGGGGATAATCTTGCTAATTACAGATAAAATCTGCACTTCGGAACGCAACCTACAACGGCAAATCCGCGGAACGCTCTCACGTGCCCCACAAACACGGAGCCTTGCAGAAATGTGCAAAAGAAAGAAGCGAGCTTCCGCATCCAGACGAGCCGGACGATTATCTCCTCCGAATTACCTGGCAATATCATGAAGGAAATTCGAGGACTCGACGCTACACTTTTTTGCGTTGATTTTGTTTTGCCGTTGCGACTTGCAATTCTTTTTAAGGCAAAGCGGCTTTTTTGTTTTGCTGGTGCCTCGACGTTTCAATGTGCTCTCGTATTGTGCCGACACCAATGTCGTGTTTTTTGCTCGCAGGTGTGGTTCCAGAACGCGCGAGCGAAGTGGCGGCGAATGGTGACCAAGCAGGAAAACAAGATGGCGGAGAAGTGTTCGCCCGACGCCTCGCTGGAGATGGACTTGTACCACGGGCCCATGGGCTCGATACAGTCGTTGCCGCCGCACAGCCCTCCGTACAGTGTGATGGGGGGCCCGCCGAGTCCGAACTCCATGGACTGCGCATAGCGCCAGTTTTGCGCTTTATGAGCGCTCTAAATTTAAACAGTGGTGTCGGAATCGCGCCGTCAGCCGCCTAACGCTCCAACTGTTTCGAAGGGGAATTCCGTGGGCGCTGTGCTCAGTGATCTGCTATGTTCTCGCTTACTGTCTGCCTATCAGACCGAAATAAAATCGTGTTGTAGTGTGACCTAGTAAATATCCCAATGGTTGTGCGGAAATAATATGTTGTATGAAACTATAAAAATTCGTGTTAGTTATAGAGACTCGTTTCTGTGTAAATGTTGATCTACGTTATAATTTCAAAATAAGAAGTCTCAATTTGTGAAATTAATCTCGAAGGTTGTAAATGAATATTGGCTGATGATAATTGTAGGCAAGGATGCGGTGTAATGTAATTTATAATGGATAATTTTCAATTGGAATAACTTTAGTGAGCATTTCGAATGTCCGTCCAGTTGAAAACAGTGGTGTATTGTACGACCTTTTAAACCTAAAGTGTAACGTAATAACGACGGATATTGCTCAGCCTGGTTTAATCCTTTTTTTTGGTAAAGCAATAGTTGAAATGAGCAATCCTAATTATGAGTCTTCGTAAATATTAGGTTCAACGAACCAATAGTAAGAATGTTTTTTTTTAATTATTAATATATACTATTTATTTATTGAACTTTGATATTTAATATAGAAATTAAGTTTGGTGTTAAGTAGGAATTAAGTATATAAATAAATAAAAAATAAATTTTCCATAATATAATGATGATTAATTACGATGGTAATTCAAATATTTAACAGTAGATTAAAAGTAGAATTGGCGATTTGTAATTCTGGATTCCGATCAATGACATTACTGGTTATTTTGTATCAATATCACACATTTTAATAATGTTGTATGTAAGCATTACATAAGTATAATATTCCGGTTAAGTACGCACAGTTAGTTCCTTTACTGTAGATATAGCCCATTGTCAAAGTAATCGCAATATTGTTAATTCGTAGCTATGTTAAAATATTAATGGTATAGACGGCGATTTGTCTTTATCTGCCCCCGTAGTATGGCTATGCATGATAGTCACGACGCGCGCGATAAAATTTTTGGCTATCTCAATCAGATCTAAGTTAGATAGCCAATAGCGCGCGCGTATTCCAATTTTATCGCGCATCGTGACTAACATGCGTAGCCATAAAACGGGGGCTGGTGTATAGAGTTAAAAGACAACATCTAATCAAACTTAAGATATCAACATAAAGCAGGTACCATCCAATTCACGCGACGTCATTCATAATGCATAATACAACTGCATAATGATCCTGTGTCTGAAAATTATAAAGACCTGTTATTAAAAATATTCCAATTTATCTCCTTCTCTTTCATTATCGACTAATTCTGCCATTCTTAAGTTCATTATTAGGTTTTAAATGTAAGTATGTTTTTGAAGCTAAATTACCTATGTGTATTTGTTTTTTATTTTTTTAAAGAAACCAACTATTTGGGCTTCTTACAAGGCTAAAAGAGGTAGAATTATGCGCCGTTTTGATGAGAAAAAAGAAAATGGTTAAAAAAATAAGTCGCTTTCGCCATTTTCTAATATGGCCGCCTTACATTTTCTACCATCAACTGTGTTTCAAGGCCTGCATCTCCGCGAGTATTGGAGATAGGCGGAGTTTGGATTTATCCCCGCGGGACCTATCGCACAACTAAGCGAATCACTGGTGGTGCGGTGGGCATTTTTTAAATTCCTACCGTACTACCATACAGATGCCTTGTGTAATGAGCGATCGATATCAGGCGTTAAAGTGCTTTTGAAGAAAAATTACGCCATGTAACACGATGTTTGTTTCTGGGTTATCAATATAATTTTGAAATAGAATTGGTTCTAACATACTCTACTTTTGTAGTGAGGACAACGAAAAATTTAAATTTGCGCACATGTGAAACACACAAACTTTCGGGTTTCTCTTTATACTTATAGATAAAAGGGGAATATTATATTTCGAATAAATATTATATTTCAATTCAACTTCTACAAATTGATTGCCAAAGAACCTAGAAATGTTATAGATTTGCGAGATTATGTAAAAATCGCTATGTAGGAATGAAATATGCAGCTATGTAAATAACACTGTGACAGCCACAAAAGCACACGCACAAGTTTCAGGGTGTACCTACCTGTTCTATATACTTGCTGCTCAATTAAACAGACAAATGCAGTTAAGTTAATGTATGGGGCAAAAGACGTCTTTATGTTTATGCAAAAACTTTGCTGAATTGAATATTTACTTTTCACTTAGCAACATTTGTCCTGTATTTATGAAAAAAAGAATAACAATAAACTGCCGGATTTTGTTTTAACAACATTGATACGTACAAAACTGGCCTAAAAACTTAGTCATTCACAGAACTAGTGGGAGAGAAAATTCCCAGTAGTTCTGTTAAGAAAACTGTTTATTTATTAACAGAACAAATGAGAAGAAAAATATCAGTACTTTTGTCAACAGAATTAGTGGGAACAATCGGAAACCAATACTGTCAAACCAGAGACAAAACATTTTTGAAAAATTTGTTATTTAGTAATAAACCGTTGAAAACTATTCAAATCCTAAGTTAAATATGCAATTTCAATAATGTTTTATTTAAATTTAGTGAGGACTTAAGTTGTTCGTAAAAGTATTTGGAACAATATTTTACTGCATTCAAAATGTATCGACGGACAAGCAGAGCATTCCCGACGGTGTTATCACCGATCATAGAAGAGGACCCCACGCGACACGGTCGCGTTTTCGTGGATTGTGCTCGGAAGCTAAACTTTAAAATTACGAGCTGTCACACAGGCGCGTACAAGAAGACCCTGAGTTATGTTGTTTTAATTAATACAATAAATAACGCCGAATACCCGCAACCGGCAGAGCCGCTGGGTGGTCCCCGCGGGTTACATTTTCGAATATTCCGGACTTTACCAACACGTGAAATATCAAAACATTAAAATCACATTCGGCAACCTACAAAAATTGATGGTTTGCAAAAAATAGCGTCGGTTTTCAACGTCGAGATGAGAGCAAATGTTTGCATGACAAAGTTTGTAGGGTATCAATTTAATTTGTCGAGTCAATATTCGTTTAATAAGAATTCTTTGATTAGAACCTGAGTTTTGCGAAAGCCTGCAGCGGTTAATCGGACACCTGGGTCCCAATTCTGAAAATTTTAAATCTTCCCAGTTTTGTGCCGATAGAGTGTCAACGTCTGGATTTTGTACGTTTGGAATTCCACTAAAAGTTAAGCGTAGTCTCTTCATAGTGTCTGGCCATCGAGCTACTATTGAACAGATATTGCAAGTTTTTTGCTATTATGCTATTCAAATGCGATCCAATATTTGATTTAAAGACTAAATTACTAACGAAATAAAGTCTAAGTCAAAGTTAATTTATTCCATAGGTAAAACAAATGTACACTTGAAAACGTCAGATTTGCATTACATTAAGCTACTGCTCGTTTACTACGCTGACTTCCCTGAGAAGAACGAGCAAAAAGCTCTAAGGATTGCTCTTTTCAAATAAACTTAAATGCTATGGAATACACTTTGAATTAAATTTGTGTGGAATCAGGAGCCATGTCGTCTTTCCATACATCTTTATCTAACACGTAGTCTTCAATTTTGTGATATGGCTTTTCGATCAAAATATTTTTAATGTAGTTTATAAACTTAGGAAATGATAAACTTTATATATGCTCCGGAATCTTATTGTAAAAATGTATACAGTTCCCCATAAAACAGTCGTTTACCTTGGTTAGACGAAATCGTGGTGCCATGAGTTTGGACTTAGCTCTAAGGTTAATATTATGGATATCTTCTTTCTTATTGAAATTGTGTATATTTTTACGGGCATATAAAATATTTGAGTAAATGTACTGTGATGCCTCTGAGAGAAACCCGAGAGCCTAGACGGTACACAGAACGAATCGCTCGTTTTTGCAATACAAATATGGTTTGAATTTCTGCCGCTTTACCTCACAAACGAGAGAAAAATTAGGCTATGCTATAGCAATTTCCGTGATAGATTTAGTAAGGCACTGCCGTAGTACTGACGCTTTATTGCGACTCGACGCCATTGCAACTAGATTTTAGCGGAATAACAAATATCTCATCATTGAAATGTAATTTCAGTGGAGTCTCAATGCAATTGCAGTGATCACGGGGGCCTAAATAGGCCTGATGGCCTTATGATTTTGCCAATGTGGCCTTTTTAGGCCCACAATGGACTCTAGAAAATTAGCTGAATTTCTAAAATATAGGAGTGTATGTGGTTTATAATCTAAAACATGTTCAGAATTTCCTTACTCAAAGCTGTTTGTCATTGTCATTATCTATAACGTTATTTATCTTTCCGCACCTGAAATCATATACAGTCTAACTCAAAATTGTGAAATTGAGAAAACATAATTTTGAAATTCAAGAAAATACTGAATGAAACCAACTTTAAATTCTCGTTTATAAATTGATAACTGAATATTATATATAAATAAAAATAATCAAATTATTCGCAATAAGCCATTTATTCTGGTTCCGCCTCCAGCCTCCAGTTTGCGTGCTGGTCTACCACGCAGACGTCGCGGGTTCGATTTCCGGGCCGGGAGAAATATTTGTATGGCTTACATTTTTTTTTTCGTGAGTTTGGGTGTAATTGTCACTCGCGATACAGGGTTTCCCTAGTCAGGGGTTATGTGTGTGTTATTATTATTATTTTTAACGTTCAAATAGCGTTTTCTCAAATTCACCAGTTTTTGAGTTACGACAGTATTTGGTTTCAAGAACGGTTATATTTTTAATTAAAGAGATTTTGTGAAAGGCTGTGAAATGGGGTCGTGGTCAAAAAAGTTACTCGTTAAAACTATGACAGTTAGCTCCACCATCTACTAGTGGAACCAACAGTTCGAAAGGACGTTCTTTAGACATAACCGTTTGTTGATTAATACCACTTTATTAGATATTTCACATGTGAACAGCCCGAACCGCTGGTTGTTTTGACACAGATCGTTACCCCCCAATGAACACTACCACTTTGTTTTTTGGTAATTGATTATTATTTTTGTAAACAGCCATATTTATTTACCAATACTGTGCTCTCCGAATTTTGTGAAAAAAATAAGAAACAAAACAAAATCGAAAAAAACAAACTAACAAATTAAGAAACAAAAATCAAAATAAAAACAGAATAGGTTATAAATTAAGATGGCGTAGTGTTCATTGGAGGTATCGAAATATCGGTTTTAGAGCCAAAGAAATTGATACTCTTTATTGCTCTCACACAGGAACAAGAA